TACCCTTGGGGTTGGGGCACTGCATTGCTCCTGTCTGCCTCCAGATGCCCATCCTTTAGGGATCTACCCCCATGTGCCTGGTGCTAGGGCCAACTTTAGTGGCACCTCCTCCCCTCTATCAAGGACCCACCAGCTCCTACCCAGGCAGGAGAAAGTGGGAGGAGTGCCACCAGCCACATTCAGCCCCTTGGCCCAGGCCTGTCTGGCCTGGTGGCTCCTTATCCCTTCACCAGACTGCAAGGCCTAGTCTCTTCCTTTAGGCTAGATGAACACAACTTGGTGGGGACAGGTTGAAAGGGAAGCTGAGATCCATACTCCAAGGTCCCACCCTTTTCCCTCTGTAGATCTGGCTCAGCCAAGAGGAGCAGGCTTGGAAGAAAGACTCAGGCCTGGAGAGATGCTGTGATGCTGGTCTCAAGCCAAGACCCTGGCCCCTCAGAGGGCTCTGGAGCTCCCCTTCTCTCCTACCCAGCACCCTGATGTTCATCACTGGTGCTAGTGGGGTGGGGAGCTAAGAAAAGGGGGGACAGAGCTCCTGGGCATTATCCAGAGTGACTCATCCCCACCCTCCCCACCACATCCCACCTTGGAAGGGCCCTTTCTGGGAGGAGGTGTGGGCCACAGCTGGGGGCTTGCTGGGTCATAACAAATGCAGGGGCTCTTTCCTGTGCACCCAGCACATTCTGGGATTCTGTGGGGGGAGCAAAGCTGGCACTGTGGAGGGAAGGACACAGTATCCACTGTCACAGGAAGGGGAAGGGCAGCTAGCCTCTTTGGTCCTTCCATCCTAGCCCTCTAATCTATAATCTCACTGAAACCTGGTCACCATTCCATGAAGTGAGTACCGTGATCACCATCCCCATTGTGGGTGAGGAACCAGAGGCGGAGGGAGAAGCAGGTGCATCCACAGGGTTGCGCCCAGGCACAGTCTGACTTCAGACACCAACAAGACGCTGCTACCACACCTGTCCTGTATCTGCACCCCGGTGGCTCCAGGGAAAGTTCCACTGGAGCCCCCAGAAGGGGAGGTACTTATGGCGATTATTAAGCTGATGTCAGGGATTTGTGTCATGACACATGGCATGTGCCCAGTGCTGTGGGTGCAGGAATGCTGGCCACTGCCTTGGCTGTCACAAAAGCACCTGTCGGGCTAGGCAGGAAGGCGTTAAATAGAGCTGGACTGTAATTTGTGGTAATGTCACACAGCTGTTAAAAAGATCGAGGCAGCTCTCTGTGTGCTGATAAGGAATTATCTCCAAGATGTGTTAAAGGAGAAAAAGCAAGGTGCAGGTGGGTGTGGCAGCCACACCTGTAATCTCAGGGGCTCAGGAGGCTTGGGCAAG